CTCTGGTCCCGCTTCTTCTAATTTCATTATTCCTCTGCAATTTTGCCAGATGGAATCTTGCAACCCTGACAGCCTCCTTCACAGCCTATCCGCACCTTCCTCTCAGCAATTCCACCCTCAAAAAACCCCGTGTTTGTACATCTCAGTGGCCATTATCCCCCACCTTTACTTCCTCAAAAGCAATCAAAAAAGCTTCTACAAGAAGAGATGCCCTTGTGCCACTGTTCCTTCTAAACCTCCTGCCCCACTTCTAAGACAACAGAACCACAGTCCTTAGCCAGGGGTTTCCCTCCTAATGCTTAACTCGGTCCTTTCTTGCTATTCCTTACTGTACTCCAGGTCACCAGTCGCTCATCCTCCTGGCATGTCATCTTTGAGCTGACTTTCCTTCTAGTTAATCACATCCAGGAGATACAAAAATTCTCAACTCACCATTAAGTACATCTCTCTATGGTGCAACTTTGTTGCAAAGACTTTTTTTATAAGCTTATTACTCTGTCACTGGACTTCCCTCTATGCTCTCCTAGAGCCTTCCTCCCTTCATCTAAAAGCTCGTGCTACTTCTCCTTGCTTTTGAGCCCTTGCATGACTTAGCCTCTAATATTCATCAAATGCTAGTGAGACAGTGAGTGTGATTTGCCAAGTGCGCCAGCCCCCATCACCCACTTATTAAAGCTGTCAAAGGAGAACATTTTTTATTTCTTACAGGCAGGCCCTTCATGCAGGAAGGGCACCCTAAACATCTCTAATGCCTGCTGTTTATTTATCAAAGACCCCCGTGAAGATTTCTTCTTGAGAATCGCAGAGTTCAACAACAGTCCAACAGCTGAAGCACTAAGACCACTTATCTGTCAGAAGGGTCAAAACCACCTTATTTGCTTTCACTTCGTCCCATGCCTCTGCTGCTACATTGATGTCTCTCACTGCAGATCGCAAGTTCTTAGTGGCAGAGCCCATTTTCTGTTCCACGCTTGAGTTATGAGGCAGCACAGGGGTATCCTGTTGGACTAGATGACCTCTTGGGGTCCCTTCCAACCCAAAACATTCTATGATTCTATGATTCTATCCCGATGTGAGATGGAGCCCTCCAACCCAGCGCAGCCGCAGTGGCGCCTGACCATGCAGCAGCATCAGAGCGAATACAAGAAGTCAGGATCAGAAGGTGGAGATACGTTCACCCTGCCAGCCACTGATATTGCACCCAAGCTATGATCAACCCGCAGCGCATGTATTATCAGAACACAAGTTTAAAAAAAAAAAAAAAAGGTTATCTGAAAATAATTTTACTGTTCAAAATGCAGAAGGCACGAGAGGCGTACACCAGATAGCAGCTGCCTGCACAGAAATCCTGCAGATTTTGAAAGCGTTGTACGTGAAGCAAGCTGTAGCTCTCCCAAAGCACAGTCCTTAGGATGGCAGAAACTTTCTTTACCACATGCAATTATTTGTGTAAATGTAATTGTAGATTTCAACGTCTTGTTCTTCCCTTTTCTTTTTTTCTTCTGCTTTACTTTGTTATTTCTTCTGGTTTACTTTGTTATTGCTATCTTCATTCAAATGAACACATGCAAGTAACATGTTTGCATATAGTAAGATTATTTCCTCCTTCCCCTGCTCTGCCAAGCACGCAATTCACTAAATTACAGAAACATGGAGCTGGATCACGTATAAAACATTCATCACAGATGTCTACTGAATTCTAGGGAAGGCCTTTCACAGCCTGTGCCTAAGTATCCTTAGAAGGTTTTTCTCTATCATTATATCGCTCACTGAAAGAGAAACAAATTACTTCTCTCTTCAGATAACAACTCATCCATGTCCTGCTTACCACAGCTTTTTATGCTTTGAAAGTCAGCTCTTCCCTCAGTATTTTCTTCTCAGGAAAACTAAACCCTTCAACTTTTCTCCTCATCGATCACTTTTAAAAATCCAGTTCCTCTGTTTCTACTGCTCTTTAAACATTTATTCTCATCTTTCTGGAAGCTCAGGCCACAGTATTTTGGCCGAGGTCTCCACAGCACCAGGCCGAGGAGAAGAGTCACTTCCCATGTCCATTTAGTCTCTCCATCCCAGAAGGTCTCTCACTGAAGCTCAAAGTGCACAAACCACTGGCAACACATTTTTGCTTATGGTTACATTTTGACCTCTAAATGACCTATTATATTATGACCTTACAGAGAAAATATGAATGTTAAAAGTGCAGTATGAAACTTGGTGGTAAACCTAAAACCCGTGCTCACGTGCAGCTCCCTCCACCTTTGCACATGCAGTTCAAGAAGAAAGATGCTATAGAAACAAATATTTTACAGCTTTCATTTGAAAACCAGAAGCATTAGCTGAAGAAAACATTAAAAGCACCCAAAAATTTCTTTACAAAAGTAGATTTAGCTTATTTAAAAAAAAAACTTCATGTTTTGTGCCTTTTTCTAAGTTTAAAAGACCTAAATCACTGTAAACCCTTCCTTAAAAGAAAGTCCCTACAAAAAGCCATATACTGTAACTGCAATGTAATCATTACAGATTACACTATACTGTGATGCAATCAGAAAGTTGGAGACTCAATGGCTTGTAAATATGACTAAAGAACATATGACTGAAGAACATCTATTCAGTCCAAATACAAATGTAACATCGCAGATCTCCAGAATGAACAGATTTCATGTGCGTAAATCAACTTCCAGTTGGAAGGTCACAACAAAGCATTGGGTAGTTAGAAATTACTGTGAATACTAATTTTTAAGAAAAGGAATAAAAGAACACACAAACTTTGCACCATTGGAATTTCTGAGTCTTCACTAAGTATGAAAGGAGCAGCTCAGAGCTAGTCTGAAGTGATCTTTATTTTTTGGTGCCTCCACAGTTATGATTAATTCTTTCTACCTCATTCCTCCCAACATGAAAACAACTCCATATTTGTTTTCTAGTAACACTAACCACCACCATCTCATAATTTTTTTCTTTGTAAATCCAAGGAGGCAATTGGACTGGGTGTCCAAACACACAACAGCAGGAGCAAAGAGGCCAGTGGTCCCCCCAGTCCTTGATCAAGCACAGGATACCAGTGACAGGCCTCTCATAACAAGACCCTTAACCAGTCTGGCAAGAGACATTTTGTCCAGCTTCAAAGAAAACTATCTTCGGTTCCATAGGCTAAAGGGAAGGTTGGTTATGCTCCATACAACCTCTTTTTGTTTAGTTCCATACTAAAATAATAGTACTTTTTTATTGTCTGCGGTGAACTTCAACCCATTCTTTAACCTCCCAAAATAAACTGCAGATTAACACAGATTTTATGAAGCACATTTACGACTTGTTCTTCCTTTAGTTGGAAGATTTGTCTCGTAAAAATAAGAACTTGGCAATCAACTCAGCAACTGATCTTCCCATTTTCCAATTCCTCCTCTACGCACTGCAAGACTTTTACTAAACCCATAAAACACACAGTACTGTCAACTCTCAGTTATGTAAAGTAAAGGTATTGGGATAATCCAGACAAAGCTAAAATGCCAAAGATGAAACATGCAATGAGAGTGTAATAGGGATTAGTTGCTGATACAACTAACTGAAGCAAAAACCAGTTTTGGTCCAAACAGCCAGTGAGGGCTTAATTAGTTCCCTCCACATTCATAGCATTCTTCATCTTCAGTTCAACAGAAGATGTAACATCAACAGAAAATTAAGGACCAGCAATACACCAGCTCTCAGCAAGGGCAGGCCTCATGGCTTTGAGGGGACCCTACCTCTCCATCCACACAACGGGCACATGCTCCTTTGCGATCTCATATATGCAAGAGCTGCCAGGTAAACACACTTCCTCCTTGCTTCCCAGATTCCTGGTTTGTCCCCAGAACCAACGGTTTCTGAGCGCCTCCTGCCCATGGGTACACTGGTGCACCAGTGCGTTATCCACTGAAAAGCAACCACCTGCCCACCTCTCTCCCATACGTAACAGATGCCTGGCAAGCTGAATACTGAATCACACTGCAATCGCTCTTAGAAACGTCCTGTGGGTGGTCTCGGTTGTGTTCAGGATATCATAAAAACACGCTGGAACTGTCAAAACAAGTACCTTTCACTGAATTTGCTATTAGAGTGGCAATTCAGAGACAAAGTTTTCCTGACAAAGTTTTAGTTCAAAACTGCAATAAGGAGAAAGAAAAGGGCTCCTCTTCAGAAAGCAACAATATTTTCCAGTCATTTTTGAAGATTTGGCTGGAGTAGAAGACATGCAAGCTCTTTTTTCCCTACCTCCCTCAATCTAGAATCCTACAAAAAACGGCTCTAATTCTAGCCCCTTCAGTCAGGCATGCTTTATTTATAACCCTATTAACCACTCCTATTTAATCTTTTCTTGGGACTGTGCACAGAGCTACAGCAAGTCATGCAACCCACTAATCTCCACAAGGAATAAATAAATAAATAAGGATGGATTCAGGACAAGCAATGGCCACAAGGTATTTGTAGGAATTAAACACACCATCCTGCTTCCTACAAGCTGTTTTCATACAATGTCTATTTTGGTAGGATTAGAGCTGGATGGTGGAGAACTCGAAGTTATTTTTGTTTGTTTCAGCCGGGTTGTTTTTTTTTTTTCTCCAAGTCGCAAAGCAGACAGCAAAATGATAATATTAGAAGCCTGACATTTTGCACTCACTCCTGTTTGCATAACCATACGTTTTTATACCAAATGGGATTCCTTTGATGATTATGATGATCTTCTGTTTTGCATTATTTTACCTAAGGTTTTTTTTCTATACTCTCAAGACCTAACACCATGCAAAACAGAAGAGCATCATCCAAGTTCTATGGCACACTTGATTTGTAAGAAATTCTTAATATCTCCCTCTGTTCTGCTTACTTTTTTCAGGGTTAACAAGGAAGTTTTATAGCCAATGCATACAAGTTTTAAAGCATATGCCAGCTAAAGATAGTCATCTGAACTTTGAAACATTCTTCGCATGTAGGCATCACACTTTCTCAGAAAAACCAACAGAACTTACCCTCATCTGTAGGGTTGAACCCACAGATATCACAGATACATCGAACCCACTTATTCATCTCCTCCTCGCTGTCTGCTACCAAATAGAAAACTCTGTCTATAGTGTTGATATCAAAAATATAACTGTTTTCAAACTCTTTTTTGTTGAACGTTAATCCAGCATCCACTTGTTGACATAAATTTAAGTCAATAATACGGATAGGCTTCTTGGCATGGTCATTTTTGTAGTATTCCAATACATCTGGATCCCCCGTTAAACGGCCACTGCGAAGCACAAACCATCTTCTCTTCCATGCCTGAAAATTGAAGAGAAAAAAAGGGGGAAAAATTAGAAGGAAGAAATCATACTTTAAGAATGTTACCTTTTGTGTATGGTTTCAACCTGGTTTGAACCAAGTAATAAGTAGTTCAATTAAAATTTTAAGAGATTACATACCAGTTACCTACATTTAACACAATCTATTTATGTATTGTTACAGCAGTGGACTAGAGGATTAGTGAATTTGTATTTTAAAAGTATTGGAGCTTTGTTTTTAAGTAGGGGACATAAAATTAAATCACTGTTTACAAAATGAGAAACACTGAATCCAGTAAAGAAAAAGGGGAGGACCAGGAAAGGGCAAAAACACACACACAAAAAACTTCTGAAGGAAGCTGACGTAGGCATGGGGAAGGCAAAATAAAATTTATCTTTAAGTGCACCACAGTGTCTCGTTTCCAGTATCTGCCGCTTCGGGCTGATGCATTTTAACTCTTAAGTTTTTCACTGATACCCAGCAATAGTGACCTGCATTTAAAGAACAGACGACGCCCATATCGTACACTCGCCTCCATGTTAGGGGAACTCTGCACTCAGAACCTCATAGTATTGCTTCATTAGTACTGCTTGCAGAAAAAGAGCTACATTATTATTTTTGAAACCATTAGAGATGGGGATGGAGAAGAATGTCCAAACGTTATAGCTTTACTGCATAAAAACAGTCTCTCTGGAAGGTACATCCATAGAAGAAATACATTTCACAACCTGACACTTGTTACACCAGCCTTCCTGCTGCCGCAGAGAGAAAGAAGCTGGTCCGGGAGAAAAGCACGACTGAAATGCCTCATCTTCCAACTAATCCTCAGTTGCCTTTCATTCCCGTGGGACTCTGTCACCTGGCATAATTCCTACCAAAGATGCTAACTCAAACCAAGAAACCAAGGTTGGCATACCGCTGTCCTGCGTTACCAACAGCACCTTTATTGCCCCGCTTAGCTACATTTTGGTTCCTCAGCTCTACCAGCAATACATCATTCTATGCTATAAGCTTCCCTATATGCACAAGTGCCAGGATAATGGGCACAGCAAAAGAAGCCAGACTTACTGCCCACTAGAAGGGCTACACTGCATTCACAGTTAGAAATCTGAAAGTAGAGCCTGGACACAATGGGGAACCATCACTGTTTTGTCCAATTGTTTTTACACTTTTCAGCAATGTTGGAGACCAAGGCAAATCAGTGCAGTAGCTGAGCCACTGCGTGTTATGCCGCAGATTGACACTATGCCCCAAGGCACCCCATTTCAAACTTCTTTAGGATATTCAGACAAGGTTGCCAGCAAGTACTTTGGAAGGACAAAAAACAAGAAAAGAAAGAAAAAAATAAAACAGGTAAGTGAGCTCTCCTTTTGGTCAGCCCTGGCTGCATGCTAACCAAGTAAAGGAATAAGATCAGCAAGGACGGTGCCAGAAGAGGTCAAGATGTATCATGTCCTTTACATACTGGGACATAGCTTTGAAAAGAAGAGTTTCTTCCTACGCATTAGGAAAAGATTCAGACCCTTTTTCTTGAGGCACAAGAGCATTTCCATTTCATTTGTAGGTAGCTGTTATCTTCAAACAAACTACTGGAGAGAGGACAGAAAGGACAAAGAGCAAGAACTGCGCTGCCATCTTCCACCTCCGAATTAGCGCTGTCAGCTTTGCAGCAGAGCCTCACAAACCCCTCATTGTCAAAGGGGCATGCCTTTTTGGGTATCAAGCTTGGGACGCTGTTATGAAAGATAATACAGAAAACAGGAGAAAGGGAAAAATGCCAGACAGCTTAATTAAGGCTCATGATCCATTCTCCAACTACCGAGCCTCTAGAAGTTATTTCATTTTAAGATAACTTTTATACTTTATAAAACAAGTATATTTATTGCGGTTGTGAATACAGCATCTGCCTTTAAATGCTGAACTGTGTGAATCACGCCAAGGTCTCAAGCAATTATTTCCACGGCAGCAGTAAGTTTAGCTGGGTGAGCAGCAAAACACAGAAGTAGAGGATGTAACGACAAAACCACTTCAATTTAGATTTCAAATGTGAGCATCTTCTAGCAGCACAGCTGATAAGCACCGTTTAACAGCAGACGAAAAACACAGGCAAAGTTTTTTTTTTTGTTTCCTGTTTCCAAATCAAGTGACAACTTAGATGCTGGGATAACAGGAAACTTCAGTATTGGAGGCTCTCTCTCCAGACAAGGTCGATCACAGATAACTGTTATGAACCAAACTGCAAAACTCTGTTGCTTCAGAAACTGGCTTTATCTTTAACCTCAGCCTTCAGTCATTCAGATGACATTTTCAAAGCTTAAGTCAGGAAGAAAGAGATTAGAGATAGGAGAGGGGCAAGAACAATTGAGAAGCACGACGCATTTTGTCTCATGATTTGGGTAACAAAACAAACAAACAAACAAAAATCAACTCTATCAACTTCTTCGGGATCTCATGATTTGGGTAACAAAACAAACAAACAAAAAAAAAATCAACTCTATCAACCAAATAAACTTCTTCCAGAAGTTTATTTCTGGTACTGTGTTAAGGAGTCTTAGCAATCCTGACAATCTCTGTTGAGCATTAATGAGCAATCAGGACTCTTAAATTCAGAAATGAGTAAACAGGACTCTTAAAAATTCAGAAAATCAACCAGCTAAACAGAATTTGTTTTCAGCCCTGCGGGCTACAAAATAGCAACTATGAAGTACTTAAAACATTGAATTTAGCCTACCAGCACCTGCTACTATTTTTGAAGAGTTTTCACATAATGCATATGTGAATGTTTATTTCAGTCATATAATGAGTCACACTCACTGAAACTGGCACAGATTATATTCAAAAACAAAAGCAATTCCATAAACTACACACTAATAAGGCAGATACAAAGGTTCTCTGGATTACAGTACAAAGCACAATTTAGCAGCAGAATAAAGCTTAAAGCTAGACAAGCGAACTGACATCAGCACCCTTGCTAATCATAGTACAAAAGCGCCTCTATATTTTGTCAAAGTGCAAAATGAGCCCACATAAATCACCCTTTGTTATTTGAAAATATCTGGGATTCTTACAGCTTAATCTATTTTTAACATTTCAGTATTTGCCGTTGTAACGAAAGCTGTACACTGCCTCACTGAAGTACAGAGCACTGTGCTATATGGGTAAGGAAGACAGCTTCTTCAGTAATTGCTTTCCAAAAAGAAATGTCTAAAAGAGAGCATGCACGTGTGCACAGACGTATTTACGCAGATTTAAACTCTTTTTTTTACTCCTTTGGGCATTCTTGTTTGAAAATTTTGCATTTTCTTTCACAGAGTGTTTCTCCTGGTCACCAAAGAAGATGCAACTGCTTTAAGACACAGGAAAATTACAGGTACTAATTAATTATCTGTCAAGTTACTGATGTTATCAGCCACACATTATCAAACACTGGTTTTCTCTGCTAAAAGTCAACTGCATTAAGTCTAAGAATTCAAACGAATAGCCAGTATGGGATTTAAACATTTTGTCCCAATACCAATAAGATTTAATTTTGGAAAGGTATTTAAGCAAATAGAGAAAAGGTGGGGGGTTTTTAATACAAGATTTTTTCACAGATATAAAATGTGTGTTATAAATAGGGTTATAAAAATGTATTTTACAAATATACTAACACCTAGTTACAAAACACTGCATGCAGACCAAATACCAAATTCAGAAATAAAAGTGTTTCTTTAAAAAGCGTCGTATGGCAAACATCATGGGAATCAAGTTCACCAAAAGCCTGTGCAGGCTTTGTAAATTATTACAAAACAAGGTTTAACGAGGGTTGCTGCTTTTGTTTCAGACTAAGAAAGGCCTTGTGTGCCTCTCAGCTTGTTTTCTCCTTTGAGCTGCAAAGCGTATCAGCTGGCCTAACATAGGACAGCACTGCTCTTGCCAAACATTGTCCTGTTTGTATCATGAGACCATCGTATCATGAGACCATCATAACTATAGAAACAAGCTTGTTTGCTTGTTTTTGAGGTAGTCTGAAATGTGACAAGCTGCTCACCCACAGAGCATCAAATGATCAAAGGAATCGTGGAATTCATATTTTTCACACAGCATTTTGAGTAGGTTACAAAGCAAAACCAAGAAATTCCTACGATTAGTTCTTCCATGCACATATATGCAAACTCCTGATTTAAAAGCGGGTGAATCAGCTGAGAAACTGGCAGCAAGCATCATTTAGCAGTGGTGGTTGGTTTGTGTTTGTGGTTTTTTTTTTTTTAAGACTAGCTAAACTTGTATGGAGTACACAAGATTTACAATATAATCTCCTTACAAGAGGTATATCTGTTGAAGTTGTAGCAACACCTCCCTTAACCTTTACATTTATGGATTCCTTTCCCCCCCCCCCTCCGCCCTTATATATATTTGAGATGTACCTCATTCAGCTGCTGGCTGTAGTTCAAAGATGTAGGAAACAGGGGATGTATGTGTAAATGGAGAGGGAAAGGAAGGAGGAAGGGGCAGGAAAGAGAGATAATTGACATTTAGATTTTAAAAAAGGATTTAACCTTCCATTTGGATCCCCTCAAGCTGTTGGTCAAGAGGCCAAAATAATTACATGAAATGTTTAAATAAAAGCTTAGAAATATTAAATCAAAGACAACTTTTTCTCGTCAATTTTTTTACAGCATCTGTTCCCACGCAGTCAAGTAACTGTTCACCAACAAACCGGACAATTGTCCTTTTCTGAGTATTATTACCCATAATCCTCATGTCATTTAAAGCTGATTTTCCTCTTCTAGCACATTTACCACCTTTTTTTTCTGCTGGGTAACATCCAGTCAAAAAACCCCTCTAAAACTGCTGAGCACTGGCTAAGCCAAAGAGGGTATCGCTTACATCCCACGCCGGTAATACCACTAATAAATCTTTCCCCCATGTATGGCCAGTAGACCCAGGAGTAAAATTACAAGTCTCAGACCCCCTTCTCATCTCTCAAGTGTGCAGACATTTGTGCTTCGGTTTTCATCTCCGTACTCCACAGAAAATACTTTAAAAGGGCAGTATTTGGCATCCGCCTTTCCCAGAGAAGTCAACTAAGACTTGGAAGAAAGCAGCAACTTACCCAAGGGCACAGGGAAGGATCCAAAAGAACACTTGATGTTTTACAAACACACACACCAAAACATTTCCTTGCTCCAAAAGAACTTACATTATAAGTAGAAGATATGCAGAACATGAACCACAGAGAAGTTGGGGGGGGGGGGGG